TGCTCATTAGAACCCCCTGATGAGTTTAATTTTTAAAAAAGAATGTCCAGGCACCACTTATCTTCCACCCCTCAAATCCTTTTTTTCTACTGGTCTGAGGTAAGACCTGGGAATTTGGTAGTTTTAAAGCTTTCCAGACATGAATGTTCATAGTAGCATTATTCATAAAAGCCAAAAGGTGAAAATAACCTATTTATCCATCAACTGATGAATGGATAATCAAAATGTGGTACATCCATACAATGGAATAATATTCAGCCACAAAAAGGAATGAAGTACTGATACATGCTATAACATGGATGATCCTTGAAAACACATGAAGTAAAAGAAGTGAGATACAAAAACCACATGTTATATGATTCCATGTACACAAAATGTCCAGAATAGGCAAATGTGTAGAGCCAGGACTTGGATTAATTGTTGCCAGGGCTGGTGGGACTAGAAGGAAATGCGGAGTGACTGCTAATGGCCATGGGGGTTTCCTTTTGGGAATGGTGAAATGTTCTGCAATTAGAAAGTGGTGATGGTTGCACAATCTTGTGAATATGCTAAATACCACTGAACTGTACTCTTTCAAAGGATGGATTTTATGGGATGTGAATTCCATCTCAATTGTAAAAGATTCCTCCTAAATGATATCCAACATGTTCCAACAACTGGAACAAGGCAGCACTATGCCTCACATGAAGTTGCAAATGTCGACAGGGATCACAGAGATTTTTAAATGCCCAGGTAAAGGGTTTATATTTATTTCTGTAGGTCACAAATTTCATTTTTCTCTATATTTATCTGATTAGAAGAATCACCTGAGAGCTTGTTAGAATATCTAGAGTTCCAGACCTCTTTGGTGAGACATAGATTCTGGATTATAATCAAATTCATGTTTAGAGTGGTGTCTGAACATCTGTTATTTTAATAATACCTGGAATGATTCTGATGTTCAAGCAAATTTGGTAAACACCATGTTAAGCGATGGGGAGTCACTGAATGTTTTTCCTCTTTTTATTGAAAAGCATGTTACTTTCTGAAATGTCTCATTGTTTCAGCAGCTTAATTAGAAGGAAGTTTATTGGAATTGTGATTTACCACAAATGTTTACCAAAGAGCACTGAAATTGAGTTATGTTGAACAATGGGAAATGGTCTGTGTACTTGTAAAGGCCATTTGATGTGAAGTCCAATTATGTCTCCATAGTCAGTTCCCACAATTTGCAGATGTGAACTAATGTCAACTGGAGATTGCTAACTGCTTTCTCACTGTTTCCCCCATCTTGTTCCTTTTTTCTTTCACCCATGTGTAGCATATTCCTAACATTGACATCACTTATGCAGTGTTTTTCAAAATAGAAAATATCTTCCCTTCTGAAATTATTTTTTAAAGTTTTTTGAACTGTAGGGAAAAAAATTAAAGTTCTCCACAGACTTGTCTACTTCCAGAAAGAATTTCTGTTAATGCTGTGGTATATATGCTTCCAGACACTTATTGTGTGCATAGAAGAATGGAATCATACCATGCGTTCTGTCTTTTTCAGTGAAATTGTGGAACATCTTTTGATGCCCATGCTTCACATCTCCACCTTATCTATCTTAATGATCATGGGTATGTATGTATATATTATAATTTACTTAAATAGTACCCTTTTGAGAGACATAAGTTATAATCCATTTTGTTGCTAATGTGGCTTTTTTTGCCTTTGGAATGAAGATTTAAACATTTATAAAAATAAAACCATGAATGTACTAGGAAAAAGTACAGAACATTTTTATAACCATGGATTAGGGAGAGCTTCTTAAACCACTGCAAGAAACCCAGAAACCATAAAGGATGTGTCAATAAAACTTGACAGCAGAAAAGTTAAAACTTTTAACTGATACCATTAACAAAATTAAAACACGTATTAACACACTGGAGTAAATAGTTGCAACACATGACAGAATTAATAGCCTTACTTTATGAAAAGTACATACAAAGTATTGAGAAATATTCAAAATTCAAAAGCAAAATGGGTAAAGGATGTGAGTCAATTCATGGGAGCGGAAATACAGGTGGCCCATAAACTTATGAAAAGCTGCTTAACTGCCCTAATTAAATAAACACAAATTAAAACAACAGTGCAATAGCATTTTGGCCTATCAGCTTTGCAAAAATTAAAAAAAGATTGATAGTACCCTGTTTTGGCTAGAGTGTGGGAAAATGGGCACAGATGCACTGTTCTGAGGGTCAAAATTGGTACAACTACATTAGGAGGAGAATTTTGCATTCCCTATCAATACTTAAGCTGTCCACGCCCTAGGGTCCAGCACTTGCGTTTCTAGGGCTCTAACCTACTGAAATGGCACAAGGGCATAAAGCCATTTGCACAACAGCCCTCATTGCAGCACTGTTGATAGCAAAATGTTGAAACCACCAAATGTTTTTCAACAGGGAAATGGTTAAATAAATTATGGAGTAATACTCTGTACCTTTTAAAATGAATGAAATTGAACTGCATTTGCTGTCATGAAAGGATAACAAGGAAGTAATGTTAGGTAAAAAGCAAAACTGCAGAACAATATGTGTTCTGTGAGCCTCTCTCTGTAAACAATGGTTCTTAAATATATATCTTGTATATGTGTATATAATATGTAGGTCGGTGTGTGTATTTTTATATGTTTTATACACACACACTCCTAGAATACACATACACACCACATACATACAGCTAGAAAAATGCCTCAAATGTAACATGGCAATTATTAATAGTAATTACCGGTGGTGAGTGAGACATGCACTTTTTTTGTACAGGTCTACATTGCCACAAAGTTGAATTTGTTACAATGAACAAGCAAACCATTATTTCTGTAAATATATATGCATATATACATATATATATAAAACATATACATATTTAAAATGTAGAAGTTGATGGTTTTATAGCAGGAGCACTGAAATGATTTGAAATGATTTGAGCTGGGCTTTAGTTTAATCTGGAGAGAGACAAGTGCCAAGGAAAAGGCACTTTTCCACAGTGGAAAGGAATATCTATAGGACCTGACAACTAATTTTATGTAAGTGGAGAGACAGAGTGAATTAAAAATAGCTCAGTCCCCAAAAGACCTTGGAGATACCATTAACTGGGGTTGGCAAGCTAAAGGAGCATATTTGTAAGGGGAAATCATACCTTCAGAGTCTAGACAGATGTGTTAGTTATCTATTGCTACAAAATAATTTAGTTCAAAACTTAGTGGCTTAAAATAACAATAATCATGTATTATCTTTATGGTTTCTGTGGGTCAGGAATTCAGACTAGGCACAGTATGCAAAGCTCGTTTCTGCCCCACGATGTCTGCACCGTCAGCTGGAAGATCCAAAAGCTGGGGGCTGGAATCATCTGCTGGCTTTCACTCACATGTCTGATAATTGATGCTGGTGTTGGCTGGGGTCTAGTTGGGACTGTCTGCCAGAAAATCCAACATGTGCCTTCTTCATGCAGCCTGCCTCCCTCACAACATTGTGGCTAAGTTCCAAGAATGAGCATCCTAAAGAGAGAGAGACAGAGACAGAGACAGAGAGACAGAGAGAGCCTATCCCAACAGAGGAGAAGCTCACCATGGCAGGAACCATGTCCTGTTCATCTTTTTGCCCCAGGCACTTAGCAGAGTGCCAAGCAGAGCAGGCCTAAGTAAGTATCTGGTGAACTGAACGCTGGGTAAGTGAGTTCTTAGGTGATGGTGCAAAGCTAGCCTGCTCTGTTATCAAAGGCTCTTTCATCCCTACGTGGTAGGATGGAAAATGGAAAAGCTAGCAATATATTTGGGGCAAATTAAGTAATTTATCCCAAATATACTAGCTGTAGGGGTTCTTGCTAAGTCTGGTTCTACCATTGTTGCATGTTAAAGAACATGTTGTAACATAGTTTAAATGTCAAGTTATAAAAAGTAGTCTCAATAAGAAGAGGGAAGACTTACGAAATCTATGCCTTAGCAGGAATAGAAATGCTTCTCTTTTTTATTAGTTGAAAAGGCTTGTGTAAGAGCTATTGAAGAATTTTTCACAGCACTAACCCCCCACCCCACCACAATTCAAAAGGGCAACTAAAGGTATGTCAGTACTATGGGCTGAGATACAAAGGGCCTAAACCAAGGGAAGAGGAGTGAGATAAATTTGAGTAATATCTACAAGGCAAAGGCTCACCAGTACTTGATGGTCCATTGCCTGCAGGGGAAGAGAAAGGCGGAGGGCACCAGGTGGTGGAGGCAGGAGAGACTGAGGCTGGCTGGGGTGGCTCTGCCCGCCTCTCTGCTGTGTTGGAAATCACTCTCTATGTATGACATACTTCCCTGGAGCTCCACAGACGGAGCGAGGATGCTCGTGTCTCACGGGTTCCTGGCTGAAGTTCCCTACCACAGGGGACGCTTCATGCGGTGAGCAGGAAGGAGGGGATCGCCACAGACGATATGAAGGGCAAAGGCCGAGATTCTGGGACCTCAGCCAAGAGGCTCCTATGCCCTGAGTGGTGACAGGAAATTACTCAGGTGGCAAAACCAAGTGGGGAGCCTGTCTGGGGGCTGTCGTGAGCCAAATTTCATCAGCAGCTATTGTTATTTTTGGCCTGTGCTGCCTCCCAGAGTAGCCACATCTATAAATGTCCATATAACTTGCTGTGCCTGGGCCCAGGGCAGAAGGAAGCAGCTAAAAAGGATTGTGCTGGGCAATTTTCCACCCTTGATTGGTAGATGCCTAGACCTCAGGCACCCCAGGTTACCTCTTGGGGCACCCATCTCAATTCTTTGGGCATCCTACTATCACTACCACCCTGCACTAGCCCTCCTCCCATCAGGTTTCAGAAAGAGGGCTCCCCGAGCACAGGTGTACCAACAGGAGTCAGGAGGCAGATCACAGCAGACCCAGGTCCCATACAACCCCACAGGGTGGGTTATCCAAGGCCAATCTTTGGGGGATTGAGAGGGCAGCCTCCATGCTTGTGGTGCTGCTCGGAGCTGGTAGCCTCATTTTCATACCTTTGTTTCCCTCTCCTGGCCCCTCTTCACCTGATGATGAGCTGGTTCCATGCTGGGCTGCTTCTAATATATGTCTGGGCTCTCAGGCACCCAGCACACACTCTCTCATTCTGCTGTTGCCCCTGCAGAGGGAAAAGGAGAGCTTGGGCTCTGGGGTAGGGCAGCTGATGAGCTGAGGGACCTGTGTCCTCCCCTGGAATGATGGGAAGAATAAGCCTCACCTCACAGGATGCCCTGGGATAAGATGTGCAAAGTGCCAAGCACCTTGCCTTGCACATGGAGTACTTAAGAAACAAAGCACTCACCACCTAGTGTATTCCCCCCAAATCTGCAAAAGGAGGCAGCTTCTCCTCCCTCTGAGGCTTGTTTTTATACTCTACCCAGCCAGCTTACCTCCTAGTTATTTATACTTGGGTGTTCCTAATGAATTTTCTCCATAGCATTTACCGCTAATATACTAGATATTATTTCATTTATTCTCTGTCCCCAAGGGCAGGGAGTTGGACCTGTCTTGTTCACTGATGTATATCTAGCTCCTAGAACAATGCCCGGTTCAGAGTCAATGTTTATACACATTTGTTGAATGAGCCCCCCTGCACATATGTACCTCTTCCCTTGTGCCATCTCAGAGGGTGGCCTGACAATTCCCCTTTTGCTCAAGCCAGAGCACTGGTCCTCTCTGACTCTTCCCTTTCCTCGTACTCTGCACTCAGTGAATGGCTAAGACCTGACTATCCTACCAGCTAAGGGTACCAGGATTCCATGTGCTTCTCTCTGTCCCCTTGTTACCACTACAATTTGGCCCACTTAGATTAAAGAAATACCTCTTACTTGTCTCCTGGATTCCATTTTTGCACTCACCTAACCCATTCTCCTTGCCAGAGATAGAATGATACCAGCAAAGCAATTCACAGGGAGTCTTTCAATGACTCCTCATTGCTCCCAGGACAAAATTCCAACTGCTTAGCAGGGCCTGCCAGGCCCTGCATGACCTCACTTCACCAAGCTCATCTCTGGCCACCTCTGTCCTTATTCTATTCCCTGCCCCAGCTCCCCTACACTCCAGCAGTGCAGAAGTTCTTTTCTCTGATGGGTCTCTTTCAATGCCTCTCACCATCTGGCCAACCTCACCATTCTCTGTTTAGAACACTCTCTCTCCTCCTCCCCTGCCCCATTCCTCATCTCCACCAGCCTTCCACCAGGCTATCTCCTGCATTTCCTGTGAGTGACAGCTTCAAAGTCATATACTTCAAGACACTTTCTCTGTATGTCCCCCTGACCTCTTCACCCTTCTAGAAGATATGCTCCTCTCCACTGCTCCTATAGCACAATGTATCTCCTCTCTCATAGCACTTAGTCTAACATAGCATCTACTCTTTTGATTATTTTCCCCACTAGAATGTAATCTATGAGGGCATGGACTATATCTGTTTTTGCTTTTATTTAACGCATATAGAACTTACTCTTGTTAAGCACTTCTATAAACGCTTTATAAATATTAATTCATTTAATCCTCATAACAATCCTATGAGATACTGTTGTTATTCCCATTATATACATGCTGAAGTTGGGGCAGAGAGAGGTTCAGCAACTTGCCCAAGGTCACATAGCTAGTAAATGGCAGAGCTGGCACTTAAATCCCAAAACCCAAGCTGTTAACTGCTACTGTGTGTTGTTTCCCTTGTCCCCCACTGTATTAGAATTCCCTGTCATATAGAAGGTCCACCCAAGGACTATATGAATAAAAGAAAGAATGACTAAAGAGAGTGGAAATAACAAAGACCTTAGTGGGGGCAGTGGGAGAAAAGAGGTAGCCAGAGATGGAGACAGATTAAGTTTAGGAGTCATAGAAATTGAAAGCAAATAGTCCAAGGGGTAAGGAAGACGCCAAGAGAAGTGGCAGGTGATGAAAGGCAAGGTGGCGGGGGCAGGGGGCGCTCAGAAAGGCAAGTGACAGCTCAGCAGTCAGCAAAGGAAAATACAGAGCAGACCATTGGATTTGGCCTGGCGCTGGCCCCTGGGGACCTCAGAGCAGTTTCCATGGAGTGCTGGGGAGAGAAACCAGATTGCATGGGCCTGGTGGAGAAACCAGACAGTGAGATTTTGCTTCCCTCTGAGCCATAAAAGGCAGCGTTTCGGGGGGTAGTAATCAGATTAAGTAAGGTCTTTTTGTCAAGATGTGGTGATTAGGGCCTGCTGCAAGGCAAGAGGTAACAAATCTTTGGGGAGTGAGAAGTCAAACCAGCTCTCACCAAAACAAAAGGTCTGCTGTGTGGTGGTGGACAGCACCATGGCCAACTACATGAAAAGTAAATATGGGGCAAGTATGCTAACATTGTGAAGGGAATGAAGGCCAGGAGAGCAGCGCTTGGGAGAAATTCCTTCCTGAGAGATGTCTAGTAACCCCAGACATGAGGTAGGAAGGTCTGGAATGGGGGATTTTGGTGAGGTATTAAAGTGAATTGATTTAGAGGCTACCAGTGAAAGAAAAGCAGATAAAAAGCAGAGCCATGAAGAAGAAAGGGGAAACTATTTTCAAGAGCTCACAAGTTCAAAAGGCATGAGAAAACCAAAAAGAAGATAGGATACTTAGTGTAGGTCATAGGGCTGCAACGGAAAAAGAATTCTGTTAACTGACCAAAGGCCTGGCAGTGAAAATGGGCCTGAAACTTGGAAGCAGTTGGGGAGACGATTCAGCTAGGGAGCCAAACAGCCAGCAAGGCCCAAAGCGGAGTCATTTCATAAGCAAGGGGGATTATAACAAAAGGGAAGCGCCAGAGGTTCTGGAAGGGTGTGTGGCTCAAGGGCTTGGCCTGAAGGCTCCTACAGGGCCCATCCACAGGAACACGGAGCTGTCCTGCTCGGTGGGGATGGCAGGCTGGGGACAGCAAGGCAGTGCTGGGCAACCCGAGGAAAGGAGCGCCTGGGAAGACAATGAATGGATGACAGCCATGGCGTGTTCAACATGCCTTTCACAGCCGTTTGTTGATCAGGTGCTGGGTAGTACTCACCAGGCATTGGGCACAGGCTCTGCCTGCTCCCAGGAGTTTACATCCCAGAAGACACAAAGCCGAAGAACCACTTAACCTGTAACATGAGGGGGCTGATGTTGTGTAGCACAGAAAGATGGAGAAAGGGCTCTGGGGGAGGGGGGGCGAGGTTCAGTGTTAACGTGTGCCAAAGAAATGCAATGAAGTGGTCTATACACACTCTAGCATAATCCAGGGTTTACTTTCTTCCAGGAAGTGAAGAAGACAGGCTTTATGCTGAGGGCCTGGGGTTTCACTTAATTTGAATAAACCCATAAATCCACCAGATGATTATTTTTTGTATATTGTTATTTTTGTAGTTTTATAATGAGACACAGATAGATTTCAGATTCTATATTGACATCATTTCAATTCCATTTGGGCTTATGCCAAAAAAGATCAATAATATGCCCTATTAGAAAAAAGAATACATTAAAAGGCATTCACTTGCTTGGGGAGGACATACCGATGACAGTCCTGTGGGCCCTGCGTGCCCTCAACCTCTGGAGCACTGGGTGGCTAAAACCATTTGTGCTTCCCTAATAGTGATAAATCATTTTTGAAAACTGTTTCAATAGTATCATGGAGGGATTTTTAAAAAATATTTTATATGTATTTTTTAACATAATCTCTTTTCTGATTATGAAAGGAAGGCATACTTATTGTAGAAAAGTTGGGGAAAAGTATAAAGATTTTTTTATGTCTTCTTAAAATACCATTTGTGAACTTGGGCATATCACAGTTCATAATATACATTATATATATATATATATATATATNTACATTATATATATATATATATATATATATATGTATTTTAGTATTTGGTACACATACATATGTATAATATATATTTATTTATATAGAACATATAGTATGCTTAGTTATATGATTATAATTAAATATATTTGTTAAATTTCTTTATATAAATAAATATATGTTCATGTGTGTGCACATATGTGCGTGTAAAATATAAACTCCTAATAGGAAATCTTGTACTTCTTCAACCAAAGGATAGTCTAAGCAACCAATCAACCCCATACATTTATCGGGTGGGCTGAAAGTGGTATATTATTACTTAGTTTACTTTAACAAAACTGTGATTTAGGTAAAGTTTGTTTGCAGGTAATCCCATCCCTGCCTGGTGTTGGGCAGAATTCTTACATGGCTCCATGATCTCCACCCCATGGCATTACCTCCTGTATAATCTCTCCCTGAGTGTGGGTGAGACCCGTGACTTGCTTCTGATCAATAGAACAGGGCAGAGGTGATGGTAGACACTCACGTGATTAAGTCACATTACATGAAGCACCTTCTTAGCAGACTGGAGTGAGTGATTTCCCAGCTGGCCCTGAGCAGCAAACAGCCATGCTGTGAAGAGGGAACTGCAACTGCAGGTGGTCCTGGGAGGGCCAACAGCTAGCAGACACCCCCAAGGAAGTGAATGAACTTGGAAGCTGAGTCTTTCCCATTCAAGCCTCCTGGTAAAAACGCAGCCTAGCTGACATCTTAAATGCAGCTTTCTGAGACTGAGCAGAGAATCTAGCCACACCATGCCCAGGCCCCTCACTCATGGCAACTGTGAGGTAATAAACGTGTGTGTTGTTGTAAGTTGCTAATTTTGTGGTGATTTGTTACCCAGCAAAATTAATACAGTCCCCTGGCCCAATGAGTCCGGCACCTTCAGCACACCAGCCCATGTAGACATTGCCCTTTCCAACAATATTTGTAGCAGTGGAAATGGGGGCTTCTGGTGTCTTTTTTATCCTTATTCTCCGTTAATACACCACCAGGTGTATCCAGACTGGCCTGAAATGCACCATAGATATTACTATCTCTGGCTGATTTTTTGTTTACACCATTTCTTTCAACCCAGAATTCCACCCTTTCCCCTTTGTGCCTCATCCATGAAAACTTCGGAATTTCTAGATCTCTGAACCATCACTTCAACTGCACTTTTTATTTGCATCACTGTATGTCCCTGACTCATATACTGCCAAGTGACCTCTTCTAAAACCTTATTTTTCTGAAAATGTTATTGTATGTGTGTGTGTGTGTGTGTGTGTAATACAAAGAGCATATAAAAGATTATTTGTCCTCAGTGAAATTGTGAACTCACTGAAGCTTAGGATTCCTCATTGTGCCTAGCATACTGCTAGGAATACACACCTCCATATTTAAAAATATTTTAAAATTGTGTTACATGAAGCAGCAAAGCATGGCTGGCCATTTATTGAACCTCTCCATAGAGGCAGACCTGAGAGCACCCCTCACTGTTGTCCTAATCTCGCTGAGCTGCACTTCACTGAAAATTAAATGTTGTGCCAACGACCGTAATTATTTCAAAGATTAAATGAGGCTAACGTGGATGCTGACTCTTTCTAGGTGCTCAGTTAATGTGAGTTGAGTCAAAATCTAGGTTGATAAACCTCCCATGTGTAAAGGCTGTCCATACACAACAGTGGTGGAATTCTCACGGGCAAGCCAATACTTAAAAGGTTCAATGAAACCGAAGAAGCTTGTACATACAGTTTAGGTAACTTGTGTTTCAGCTACAGTTTCCTCTCTAAGTAGATATATGTGGAACGCAAGGCCAGCAACCGACTTATAAATACGGATCACGAGTGGGGAGGGATCTAAAGGAATGCGAGTAGGTCTTGCCTGTAAAGAAGTTTGCTGCTTCTGAAGTGTTTTTGTCTTAGCCACTGGCAGAACTGATCTATTGCAGTTAGCAAAGTGTTTTCTGTGCAGCCTGTCCCAACATCTGCTTCTGCACTTCTGTGCAACTGTTGCTCAAATTCACTCGTCCTTTCGAATCTTTCTGTTTGTGAAGAGCAAGAAAAAAATCCATCCAAACCACCCTAAGTATCCTAACAGCTTTCAGGCCCTTTAAAGGAGGGAGGGTCCTTAACATTTCCCCGTACCCCCCTGTCTGGGTTCAAACTTCAACTCCCAGGGTTCGCCCAAGTCCCACCCCTTGGTCTGTCATCTAATGAATATGCAAATATCACATAATTGGCAGCCAATGGCGTGGGTTCTGGTCACATGGTACTCTTGGTAGGTGAGCGGACAGAAGTTGTGTGTCGGTGAACAGAGACAGCTCTCAGTCTGGGGCGAGCGCCAGAGTGAGCGGGGACGGATGCTCGGGCAGTAGTCCCTGCGGCGGCGGCGGCGGCAGTAGTGGTGGCAGAAGAGAGGAAGGGGGAGGGCCCCGAGGGCTACATACGCTCACACTTTCAAGTTCCCTTGGAGGGAGAGGAGGTGGGGCTGCAGAAAGAGGAGGCCAGGCGCAGTTCTATCCGTCCCGTCCCGTCTCCCAGTCTTCCTTTTGCTCTCTCGCACCCTGGCTCGGCGAGAGTTGTGGGTTCGGGTGGCAGTACGCGGCAGTTAGGACACGAGGGCCAGTAGAGTGGGGAGCGGAGCCAGGGGTGCGGGGGAAGATGCCCATCCTGCTGTTCCTCATAGACACGTCCGCCTCTATGAACCAGCGCACTGACCTGGGCACCTCCTATTTGGACATTGCCAAAGGCGCTGTGGAGTTATTCTTGAAGGTAAAGGGAGCGGAGGGGAGAGATGGGGAGCGCTCCCGAGGGATGGGGGGGGGTAGATTTAGGTGCTTCTGTAACGTCTGTATCGCCCCCTCCTCCCTCCTTCCCTTCGCGGCCCCCTCCGTCATCCCTCGTCCCGCAGCTGCGCGCCCGGGACCCGGCCAGCCGCGGAGACAGGTACATGCTGGTCACCTACGACGAGCCCCCGTACTGCATCAAGGTAAAGGGGCCATCCAGGGGGTGGGGTGGGCGCCGACCGGGAGCGCGTCGGCGGGGGCAGCTGAACCCCTCGCCCCCGCCCGAGGTGGTCCTGCGTCGCCCGCAGGGCGTGAGGCGCGGGGGGCGCGGGGGGCGGGCAGAGCGGTGCAGCGGCGGCTTCCCAGCGGCTGCGGCGCCCGACCCGGGAGGGGGGCGGGGGAGGGGCGGCCCCGGGGCCCACCCGCTGGAGGGCCGAGCCGGGGGCGGCGACGGCGCGGCGGCCTTGGAAGATGGCGGACATTTTGCTTTTGTATGAGCCAGAGAGGGAGACTGAGGGCGCTGCTGAGATGGGAAGGAGGGAGGGGAGGAGGAGGGGAGGAGGAGGGGGAAGGAGGGAGAAGGAGGGCCGAGGCCCGGAGGGAGGCCGCGGGCCGGGCCCGCCCCTTCGGGGCGCACCCTGCGCGGCGGCGGCGACTCCGCCCCGAGGTGCTGGGACTGGGCGCGCGGGCGCTCCCGGAGTCCGGCCCCTCCTCCGGCCCCTCCTTCTCGCCCCCCTCCCGCCCGCCGCGGCTGCTCCTTCTCCCCCGCTTCCTCCTTCTCCCCCCCTTCCTGCGGAGAGCGTGGCGGAGCCGGCCGCCCGCCTGCAGAGCTGTGGCTCCCGCTTCTGCACTTCTGTGGTCTCCAATCCGCCCCCACCCAAAGGCAAATGTGGCCGCCCTGCGAGCCTCCCAACGCCCCAGCCCCCGTGCCCGGGACACTCCTCTCATTTCTTCTCTGGAATCGGTGCCCTTAAGCGCGGCTCACTTACCCTAGCTCCTGTTAGGGTTCCTTTGGGGACTCCGCGGCAGCCGCGACGGAGTGGGGCGGGGAGATGCCGCGTCAGAACCCACAAGGGGCAGAGCTTTTCAGGGACCTGGCCTACCTATTTACACCGCAAATTAGGTTTGTGTTAGCCACGTAGGGATTTGTTCGGGGAGAAGAAAGGCAGGCAGGGGAGGACTCCACTGCGCGCAGTTGCCATCGTCAGATTCCATGATTTGATCCACAGGATTCTGACCTCCAGGAAAAAAGTAGGGAGGACTTAACCTCGGTGGCGGGGTAGTTAATTTATGTTCCTAATGGTGAGGAGATAAAGAACTGCCTTGCCTGCAGTGGCCCGATAAAATGGAACTCAGGCTCTTAAATCAACCTGCATGAGAGTCCTGCTTGCATATTGAAATTTAAAAACTGTATTATCATAATCCTTGACGTCTTTTGCTAGACGCCCTCTTTTTCTCAGAATTATGTTAATAATGCTGGAGAGGTGCAATCTGGATGTGTTGTAATCCGTTTCAGCCGAGTGTTTAAAATAGTGGAACCTAACCAAGCTGAACAGCTGGCCAAAGAGTGCTCCTTCAGAAATAAAACCAAAGGGAGGCTTTAATTTTGTAACTCAAGTAGCCTCGGTTAACAGTTTCATTAGCAGGTTCCCCTTAAAACTGTTCTGGTTTCGAAGCTTTGTTTTCATTTTTGATTTATCTATTTCGAAAAATGGAACAAGTAGACATCTTTCAAAACGCCATCAGCTTTTTAAAAAATGTCAGTTTCCCAAAAGGGCGTGACCATTTTTTCCACATAGAAAAGCAGATGTTTGTACAGAGTAAGTCTGAAAGTCTACACCCTTTGAGTACTAATACAGATAAGAACCCCCCGTTTGTACTGTGGCCATTTGAGGTCCTTAATATGAAATAATGAATAAGCTACAAAGCAGTGTGTCTTTTTTTTTCTTTAAAGGAATAACTTTTTACACATTTTTCTGAATGCCAGGCTAGTAGGTTTAAAATGGTTTTTGATCTATAAAACCTTCATGGCAATATTTACAGAATCTTTGTAAAGGGAACAAACTTCTACCATACTTAACCATCATCACATCTTTTAACCTAGCATTGCAACCACACTGGAGATATTATTTTGTGTTCTGCTTTGTCCACCTATTTTGTCCTATGAATTATTCCAGGTTGCCGCATAGTCTTCGTACTTAACATTTTTAGTGGCTGTGTAACCTGTCCACAGTATATTAGAGGTTCCAAATAGTTCTGTGAGCAGCGGGGGAAAGTTAGGTTTTGTTTTTAGTGGACATTTCATTCCTTAGCTCTTTTAATCCTTCCGTCTTATATACTACTTTTTTTTTCCTACAGTAAAAAACATTCTTCCAAGTTGAGTTTGGTCTTTTCTTCTTATGTAGGTCAGATATGGGAAGATACTTTGTGTAATACTTTTAATTAATGTACTAACTTCTTCACTCTTTTTACTTTTCCAAGGTTATTCAGAGATTTAATTTTCATCTTGCATAACTGTATTTGCCGGAAAATGGTTAATGATCTTAATGGTGTTCTTATCGTTTTGTTGTCTGTACCTAAATTATTGCTGCTATGCCATACTTGGGTAGCATTTTCTTTTTCTGAGTCTCTTTCAGCCACTCCGTCCTGCCCACCCTCACCTTGCCCCTGAACATGTGGTAATTATTTGTTCTTTTGATTTTAGGATCTAGCCATTTTGGAAGGGCTGAACTTTTAAAACATCTGCTGAATTTTTCTTGAAATTTAGCCTTTCACTTGTTAACAGCTGGGAGCCAGGAAAGTCAGTTTATAACACTGATTTTCAGAGATCTTTCTTTGATTGTCAGCAGGCATCTTAGTTCCTTCTTAAAACTTCACTCTTCATTGGTGCCTCCGGCCTTTTCCGCAAAGTGATAGTAAGTAGGGTTTTATTTGTGACTTAGTTTTCTACAGAATAACATGAGTGTATCTGTAGCTTATTTTTTTCAGCAGAATAACATGAAGTATACTTTTCAGTTTCTCTACAGTTGGAGGCCCACTGTTTCTCTCTTCTCAAAATAACTTCTGATTTCTCAGGTCTTGGTTGTAGCCAAGTCTAAACACTGCAGAGGGAATTTTTTTTTCTACCAGAGGATTCAATTCTATTGGTGGTCCACCAGGCATGAGTTGTGCATTTGGTTGGGAGGTTTCTTCCCCTAACAGGCGTGGAACTGTTCCCAGTATATCCACTTACAAGCTCTGACAATAAATCTTGTGAAAAGTTACAGTGACTGGTATTTTTACTAATGTGTACTGTCTAGTATGTGAATATAGTGTTTCACCTTGGACTTAGTAACTTCTTACTGCATACCCCTTAGGACGTGGCTGTATGCTCTTTTAAAATTAGTCATCCCTGTTACTACTAGCAGCCAGCTTTGCATGGATGGAATTAGATTTGATTTGGAGACCATATAAGAAGCATAGGAAGTGCAAGTATTTTGTGCTACAGCTGTTTCAAGCGTTACTTTGGTAGACAAGTTTTCTGCATCGTGTCACAAGTGTTAACACTACATTTATACAATGGTATCTTTAGTGTACACAGCCAGGAAGAAACTGTTTAATATCTTAACATTTCCAGTACATCCTGATAAGACTAATACTTGGTTTTTAAAAAGTGGGGGTTTTTGTGTAATAGTTCTTAATAGTTTTGGCTGAGGTTCTGCTGTCTTGCATGTTTTGTATTGCTATGAATCATAATTTCCTTTTATTCAGTGAATAGCAGAGGTAAGCTTGTCCCTGCTACTAACACTGAGCAAACTGAAGGCACCAGGAAGAAAGTGAGCCATGAGATGAGAGTTTATAATAATATGACTACTCAAATAGTTGGGTGTTTGAAGCAACTTTCTTGAAATGATTGCTTTTCCATTGAAGGAAATGCTTTTTAAACAAAAAACAGAGTGGCTCTTCTGGAAATAGCTGAAACATGTAGAGTGGATGGATTTTTTAATATATAAGTAGGAAGAGATGTTTCAAAGAAATATCCCAAGTCTGTAATTTTAAAACAGAGCATTTGGAAAAGTGAAAATTTCCCTTGAGTGTTGCTTTTTCATATCCTATAGCTAGCTTTGCTTACTGGTATCTGCATGCCTTTGTCAATGTATATCAGCACAAGGCAGCATTTTGGCTTACAGATTTAGGAAGTGAACATATGCTTTTTAAATGATCTCTGTTCCAAATATTTAGTGGTATTTTAGCTAAGATGTAACTTATTCATATGCCCATGAGTATATCTTATGGACCTTATTTGGAAAAGGAGCAACTTTCAGGGGAGCCTTTCACTGTGGTTAGAAGCTAAGAAAGTGCTTTTCAGTGAAGCAGTTACCACATAGCCTGGGACAATGGAAAGTGCATTTAAAACTCAAAATGCAACATAGGCAGTGCATTGACTATTATGATGAGTTACTTCTCTCCTGAGCTTGCTTGCTTTTCTCCTTCCTCATTGGCCATTTGAAGCATGTGATGATAGTTACTTTGAAATAAAAGGGGAGAGAAGCCATCAACAAATGAAAAGGCAAACTATTGAATGGGGAAATATTTGCAAATTAATATCCAAAATATGTAAAGAACTCAAACAACTTAACAAAAAAACCAAACAGTCTGATTAAAAAATGGGCAGAGATATTTTTTCCGTAAAAGACATACAGATGGCCAACAGAGACATGAAAAGGTGCTCAACATCACTAACCACCAGGGAAATGCAAATCAAAACCACAGTGGGCTATCACCTCACACCTGTTAGAATGGCCATCATCAAAAAGACAAGAGGTAACAATTGTTGGTGAGGATGTGGAGAAAAGGAAATCTTGTGCACTGTTGGTGGGAATGTAAATTGGTGTAGCCACTGTGGAAGACAGTATATATAGGGGTTCCTCAAAAAATTAAAAATAGAACTACCATAGGATCCACTCCTGGGTATTTATCTGAAGAAAATGAAAGCACTAACCTGAAAAGATGTTCATTGCAGCATTATTTACAATAGCCAAGATATGGAAACAACCTAAGTGTCCATTGGTGGATGAATGCTTAAAGAGATTGTAGTATATATATATATACATACACACACACACAAGGGAATACTACTAAGCAATTAAAAAAAGGAAATCTTGCCATTTGTAACAACATGGGTAGACCTTGATGGCATTACGCTAAGTGAAATAAGTCAGAGAAAGACAAATATGATTTAACTTACATGTGAAATCTAAAACAAACAAACAAACCAAGTTCATAAATAAATAGAAAAGACTTGGTTGCCAGAGGCAGGGTTTGGGGTGGGCCGAAATGTATGAAGGGGATCAACAAGCTTCCAGTTGTAAAGTAAGTCCTGGGGATGTAATATACAGGATGGTGACCATAGTTAATAATATACTGTATTGCATATTTGAAAAGTTGTTGTGAGAGTAGATCTTAGAAGTTTTCATCCTAAGAAAAAAGAAAGAAAACTGTAATTGTGTATGGTGATGAATGTTAGCTGGACTTACTTGTGTTGATCATTTTGCAATATATACAAATATCAAATCAATATGGCATATACCTGAAACTAATATGTTATATGTCAATTAAAGCTAAATAAATAAATAGTAAATACAGACTTTTTTCCAACCTATGAATTAAATATAGTTTACTGAAAAGAATTTTAGGAGTGAGGTACTTTGACTGGAAGCACTTTTCTTTATGTAAGAGAAGAAGATGGAGGAATTAGAACTTCAGTGAAAGCAGCATATACAGATAACCCTTCATTACTCAGGTATATGCCACTCTATCTGTAGTTTTATTTATTGTTTTATTTTGCAGTGAATAAAGTATTCTTTGTTTTAAAAAAAGAAAGAAAGAAAAGGGCAGAGTTACTGCTAGAAGACTAGATCTCTGGGCAAGGGAGGAAGTCCTTATCTTCAGACCAGGCACCAGCTGGAAGCTGACTGGGGAGCGCTGACACAATTATGGAGTCCCATCTGTTCTGTATCCTCAGCCTTTGTGTATCCATCCATTGTTCATTGCTCTTC